GTTGCGTACAAGTTGTAACTTGTTCAATCGTGCACACGATGTCGGATTATAGGGGGTGCCGTATTAGCCAGGGGCCGGATTACCGGGGCTCCACTGTATTCATAAATGTATTCACTTTGGATTGCCTCGTTCTAGGATCTCAGTCTCCTTAGATAAGACGTGAATCATCAGTCTGCAGATAGATTGCTTTAAGGCCCAAAGAGCGGATAAAATACCATTGAGCTATTATATACTACGTACTAGAGGCGTGCATACAGCTACTCTGTTTCACTCAACTGCATACACCGCACTTTAATCAGTCACTCGCTAGGCGCTTATAGAGTTGCCATGTGTTGTGTTTATTTAAAAAAAATCTCTTGATAAAAATATGGCGTCGTGTGTACTTAGATATTGCACAAATAATTCAAGAAATGTCAGTAAAACCAAGGAATTACTTTTCATCGGTTAATAAGATACTTAATCAATAAAAAAGTGCTATAGATTAATAATAAAACAAATTATTCCTGAGACGCCATCTCGTGTCAGGGAGTATAGATTATGAAATTAATATGTTCAGATGCGACATTTCTGTGAGTACTTAAGTATAGGACGAATATATTATTATACACATTTGTTTTGTAGAAACATATATAAGTTATTATAATTTGGCAAATTATTTCATGTTTAAATATACTTATTATTATTTTATTTAATTTTTAGGTTTCCACATCAAATTCAAAGTGGTATAAACTCGTACATTTTTAACTCTCGCGTGCCCAGCATTTATGAACGGCTTTTATTCTAATTTAAATAAATATATATTATAATTTAAATTTTATGTTAATAAGTTTTGTTAAACATACATTTAGTATGTTTTTATATTTTACTTAGATACCTTTCAAAAATTCAGATAAAAATATCATTAAAATGTAATTGTTATATAATATCATGTAATATTATATTAAATAAGCAAATATAATATACAAAATAAATGACAAAATTTAAATATTTTTTCTCGATATAATTTACCTAATGAACATAACATATACATAAACACTCACGCCTGTCACCCAGAGGGGTAGGCAGAGACTACAGACTTCCATTTAGCACGATCCTGACATACCTTTCTCGCCTCTTCCACATCCATATACCTACGCATACATGCTCGTCGATTAAGGGTATTATTAATTTGGCCCATTTTTAGTATATCGCCAATTTGGTCGACAAACTTCCGCCTATGACGTCCCTTTCCGATTCTTCCATTCACTTCTGCAACATATATTTGCTTTGTCAGTCTTTCCGCATTCATTCTTTCTACATGACCAAACCACCGAAGCATTCCTTTCTTAATCTGGTCTGGTCTGGTCTGGTCACCGCATCATCTTGCAAACCACACTCTTCTTTTATCACACAGTTTCTCACCCTGTCACTCAGATTCAGCCCTAACATACTCCTTAGCGACCGCATTTCTACTGCATTTATTCTACTCTCGTGCTTCTTCTGCCACACCCAACTTTCACTACCATACGTTAAAGTAGGGACTAATACAGCACTGTGAATTGCCATACGTGCCTTTATTGACACATTCTGACTTTTCACAATAGAGTGTAGAGCCCCATTTACTTTATTTCCTGCATTCACTCGTCGTTCAATATCCTTATCATATCTCCCATACCTGCTGAATACACATCCCAAATATACGAACTCATCCACTTGCTCAATTAACTCTCCTTCTATTCTTATTTCACATACCGTTTTGCTTTCATCTCTTTCAAAAACCATCACTTTCGTCTTACTTGCGTTCACTTTCATTCCCCTTTCTTTTAATGACCTGTTCATTAATGTAACCATCATTTGCAACTCTGCCGCCGACGACGCAAGTATGACTTGATCATCGGCGTACAAAAGGCTTTTGATGGTTAACTCACCCATTCTTAACCCGCATTCTTCAACTTTCAAATTTTCCAAACAACTGTCCATAAATATGTTGAACAGCCACGGGGAAGCTACACAGCCCTGTCTGACACCTTTATGGATGCCAAACCAGTCCGAGTAGACCCCGTTGATTCTAACACAAGCACTCGAGTCCCTATACAGAGACTTTAATGCCTGTATCAAACCAGTGCTCAACCTAAATGCGTTCAGCGTTTGCCATAACACATCCCTGTCCACTCTGTCATAAGCCTTTTCCAAGTCCATGAACGCACAAAAAACTTTTTGGTTTTTCGCCAAAAACTTCTCCGCGATCATGCGCCTGGAAAAGACTTGATCTGTACACCCCATTCCCTTTCTAAATCCCGCTTGCACATCCCAAATTTTTTCGTCAGTTTCTTTCATAACTCTTTCAATTAGTACCTTAGCATACAGTTTTCCCACAATGCTAAGAAGGCTGATACCACGGTAGTTTTTACAGTCCTGCTGTGACCCTTTTCCCTTATATATTGGGACTATCACGGCTTTGCACCAGTCTCCCGGTACCCGCTTTAGTTCCCAACATAAATTAAACAAGGTGTACAGCAGGCCTGCCACCACGTCCTCTCCAGCCCTTAGCATTTCGGGTGAAACTCTATCATATCCGGCTGCCTTACCTACTTTCATGCTTTTCATTGCTTTCATTATTTCATCTATACTTATCTCCCTATCTCTTTCATCTTTACCTTTACCTAATGATTTCTTATATTTACGCGAACACTATACATGATTAAAACTACTTTTACGGATTTTATCGCGTTTATTTTTACTTTTTATTTACTTTTATTTTTGATTCCCGAGAGACCCCCGTGACCATGGGTGCTGGAAAGCGCCCGAAACGTCGGGAATCAAAAAATAAATGTAAATAAAAAGTAAAAATAAACACGATAAAATCCGTAAAAGTAGTTTTAATCATAATTTATCTATTTAAGAATACAATCTACTATTATCTACTGGTCATTCTACCTATATTTATTATATGATAAAAAAACAACCGCGTGAACACAGAGTAGCGCACATTTTTTGTTTGAGATATCTGTTCTAGTACGTAAGTACATATTACTTCAATGTAAAATACCTAAATTCTTGGATATTTAAGTAAGAAGATTGCAATAACTGTTAATTTAATCTGCAAAAAAATATAAGATGACAGATGATGGTTCGATAAAGGTTTTTAATTGCATAAATTGTATTTTTGTCAACCACTTATTAGAAAAAAAAATCCTAAAGAATAGGTACCTATTTTTGTCATAATTAGCAAAATTTCTCCAAAACGGCACAACATTTTTCAGTAGTTCTTACCCTAGAAAAAAGTTTTTAAAAATACTAGTAAACAGTACTCATGAAAAAACATTATTCCCCGAAATTGAATACCGCGCAAGCGTTCCTGCTCCGTCGCCATGTAATCCCCCGCGAACTCTGTCGCAGTCCGTTTTAGGCTCCCGATTATACTAGCTTATCTATGGTTTTAGGACATAGTCGAGGCTGGACCGTGCGTTAGTGTTGGAGTGAATTAGTTCAAATATATTTTAGTTTTTAAACAGTTCATACTCATTTGTAAATATTTATGTGCATACTTAGTTTAGTTAAATTTGTACATTGGTAGCTTTAATTATTGTTAGATGTGGAACGACCAGCACGTTCTCGTAAATCAGATTTTGATAGTTTTTAAAAGGTGCCTATATAATTTTACTGTAGCATATTTTTATTAAATAGGTGATACTGTATTTCATAACTTTGTATGTATTACAATGTCATGTTGTTTTAATGAGTACGACTTTGATAGAACAATATTGGCCAGGAATACCTAGGTATTCCTGCTCCGTCGTTAGTTTACATAGATACTTATATTTACGTACACTATAATAAAATTAAATCAAACAATTTAAATAAAATAAAAATAGTAAATTTCTAAGTGCTATACAAAGACATTCGTGTATTCATGTTTTCTTTAAATAATAGACAAACCACATCACCTGAAAAAAATAAAAATATTAGGTAAGCCAAATATGACTGCTGGCCACTTGAGGAATCTGAACGTCGCTCAACAAATTATGGAGAGGGCTATGCTCGGGGTTTCTCCGCGTGATAGACTTAAAAATGAGGGTATCCGGTGTAAAGCCAAAGTAACCGGAATAGCCTAACCAATCAGTAAGAAGTGGCAATAGGCTGGCTATATGGCTCGAAAAACCGACAATCGATGGGGAAGAAAGTTTCATGAGTAGCAACCTCGTAGCGGTAAGTGAAGTGCAGGGCATCCCTACTAGATGGAGGGACTACATGATAAGATATGCAAGAAGTCGATAGATGCAGGTGGCATAGGACCATACCTTTTGGCATTCCTCCGGAAGGCCTACGTAAAGCTGTGGTCTTGTGAGGAGCTGTAATGATAGTGATGATACAAGTCCGATTTATTCATGTTAACGCCGGAAGACATTATAACAGGAATAGTTTAACCAGCTAATCTTAAGTTTATTAACAATGTCCGGTTTTTACAATCAAGAAGGGTTCAGTAAATGATTATGAAGCCAAATGTATTCTACCTTTAATTCCTAATACTCAATCTTCATTCCTCTTCACGTATTCTTAAACGTTTGTCTCACTCAAACACACACAAAAAGGTCGTAAAGATACTTACCTACTATTATCAGGTCAGAGTAAGCTTTTGTAAAGTCAGTGCACTTCACCATCATAGGCATCATCACCACTTACAATCAGGTGGGATTGTAGTTTAGCGCTGACTTAAAATAATAAAAAATTTATTAGGCAAGCGCTATCACAGAGCGGATAGACAATGCCTGTATATTGTATACCTAATGAGGTTATAGTGACTTAGCGCTATCACATAGCGGATAGACATGTCATAATATTTTCTAATTAAGTAAAATATATTTTCAGAACATGACCAGCTCCCAGAGGAGTTTCTGCTTACTCTTGGAAATGAAGGAGAGGATAACACAGAAGTTGGTGATCCTATCAGACCAGAGCTAGCACTTCGTTGGTCAAAAATAATGAGTGATGGCCTAGGAAGAGAACCAAGAGACAAAATAATGAAAAAATATCCTACCCCATCTAATTTCTCAAAGGCAGAAGCCCCAAAAATGAATGCAGAGATACTGGCATCACTCTCAGATCTGTCACTTAAGAGGGACAAACGAATATATAATCGCCAAAATATCACTGGGAAGCTGATGACCTGCCTTGGAAAGTCTCTCACTAGTCTCTTAAAGGGGAATATAAACAGCAAAGTTCTTATTGAAGAGATTAATGATGCAGCCAAGTTAGCAGCTGAAATTCATCATCAAGACTCTGCATCAAGGAAATTTTTCGCCTTATCTGGTGCCAACAAAGTTGTGCAGGATGCCATGAAAAATTCTAAGACAGATGAGTTTCTGTTTGGAGCAGACTCTACAGAGAAAATAAAGACGGCTCAATCTATTAAGAGAACTAGCTCTCAAATAAAAATAAATGATAAGAAGGAAACAACAAAACCCAACTTTAATAGCAAGAAACAGGTAAACTGGATAGGCCCATTGCAATACCAACACCAGCAACGGACTCGCAATGGGCCCCAACAGCAAGCAACCACACCAGCCTTCAAGAAGCAGCTTCGCTACGATCAGACGCAACAGAAAGGTCGGAAACATGCTCCACAACAATCCAGATCCAGACACCGCTTCTAAGAAACCAGGTACATGCAGGTGGACTTAGTTTCTTTAGAGATAATTGGTCAAAAATAACTGAGGACCGAGTAGTGTTAGAATGGATACAAGGCTATGAAATCCCATTCATTAGTACACCTCCAGCTTATAAAACAGAACCACAACATTGGCCTAAGGGAAAAAGGCTATAATAGGTAAAGAAATTCAAAAACTTATTAAATGCGGTGCAGTTTCAAAATGTTCACATAGTTTAAATCAATTTGTTTCTCCAATTTTTTTAGTACCAAAACTTAATGGCTCCTATAGATTTATACTGAACCATAAAAGATTAAACCAGTATATTCATACTGAACACTTTAAGCTAGAAGATGTAAGAACATCTTGCAAACTTATGACCACGGATTGCTATATGCCTTCAATTGACTTAAAGGAGGCTTTTTTTTCCTTACCCATAGCAGAAAATAGCAGAAATTTTTTTCCCTTTTTCTTTTGAGGATAATTTATATCAATTTAATGCTCTACCATATGAGTTCTGTACAGCCCCTTTTGTTTTCACAAAATTACTCAGACCAATGACAACTTATTTAAGGAGTCAAGATATTATCCTGACATCCTATTTAGATGATAGTTTATATTTTAATAAACATAAAATTAAATGCAAAAAGGATGTTCAGTTTTCATGTAAACTACTTCAAGACTTAGGGTTTGTAATTAACTTTGATAAAAGTGTCTTGATACCTAGTCAGATCTGTAAATACTTGGGATTTATATTAAATTCAGAAAATCTCTCTTTGTCTGTTCCCCACAAAAGCAGTTACACATAATAGAGGAAATTAAATTGTTCCAACAAAGAAGTCATTGCAAAATTAGGGAATTTTCACAATTACTAGGGGTACTTAATCCAATCTGTCCAGCTATACCATATAGTTGGGCGTACACAAAACTGCTAGAAAGAGAAAAATATTTAGTTTTATTAAATTCAAATGAGAACTATGATGCAAAAATGATTTTATCCAAAGTTATTAAACCTGAGTTATATTGATGGAGTAAAAACATAAATAAACATAATCCAATAAAACAAAATAATTTTAAAATAGAAATACACACAGATGCCTCTACCACGGGTTGGGTAGCTACGTGTGGATCTAGCAAAGCCTCAGGGTCATGTTCACTAGCCGAGTCACAACACCACATAATTTTTTTAGAATTAAAAGCAGTATTTTTAGGCCATCATGTAGGATCTGTATAATTTGATTTAAATTGTGAGATATTATTAAGAGTAGACAATACCACAGCTGTAGCATATATCAACAAAATGGGGGGAGTCCAATTTCCACACCTTAACACCATTACTAGAGACATCTGGCAATGGTGTGAGGTAAGAAATATTTGGCCTCATATATAAATACAAAGGATAACATTGAAGCTGACTGAGAATCAAGGCGAATTAATATTGAATGGGAACTCTCTCAAACAGCTTATAATAAAATAGTTCATAGGTTTGGCTTTCCAGAATAAATACGAAATGTCCAAAATTTGTTTCATGGCATTGTGACCCAGAAGCTTTTGCTATTGATGCTTTCACTCTTAATTGGAAAGAAATGTTTTTATGCATTCCCACCATTCTCTCTAATATTAAAATGTGTACATAAAATTAAAACTGATAAGGCTACAGGCATTTTGGTATTTCCATACTGGCTATCACAACCATGGTTTCCATTACTGAAATTGTTAGTAGTTGGTAAATTGCTATTGTTTGAGCCTAATCAATTCCTTTTGTCGTCTCCTTTCAGGAGAAGTCACCCTCTCCAGCGCCAGATTACCCTGGCTGCAGGTCTGTTATCGGCGAGGCATATATAAGGCGAGGAACTCCATTCTCCGCACTTAAAATAATGTTAAACTCTCTAGCGAAAAACACGATGAATCAATACGATTCTTCCTTAAAAACTTGGTGGCAGTTTTGCATAAAACATAAAATAGATGCTTTTCAGGCTTCTATCCCATTTATTTTGAAGTTTCTAAGTGAATGTTTTGAGAATGGTTCATCATATGGTACTCTTAACACTACTAGGTCAGCCTTATCATTAATAATGGGGCCTAGAATTGGTTTAGATGATCGCATTAAAAGATTTATGAAAGGAGTATTCCGGACTAAACCTCCGGCACCTAAATATAATGTGACGTGGGACCCAAGCCTTGTGTTAAATTATCTGACTAACTTCTACCCTAACGATACAATATCTCTAGAGCAGCTAACAAAGAAACTTGTCACCATCCTGGCATTAACAACTGGTCATAGAGTACAAACATTGTCCAAGATCACCTTAGAAAATATCAAATTTATAAGTGAAGGAGTCCGCATATACATTCCAGATATTATCAAGACTTCAAAGAAAGGCACTTTGCAACCAATATTAAACTTAAAGGAATTTACTGATAAGAAAGAAATTTGTCCTGTCACCACTCTGAGGTCATATTTAAATTTGACAGAATCTCTGAGAGGGGATGAAAATAGACTAATTCTTACCTTCAAAAGGCCATATAAATGGGCATCCACTCAGTCTATAAGTCGGTGGATTAAATCTATACGTAGGGAGGCAGGAATAGATGTTGCTACTTTCACAGGCCACAGCACCCGACATGCTTCGACGTCTGCCGCTAGCAGATCGGGTATCAGTATTGACCAGATACGTAAAGCCGCTGGCTGGTCTCAAGGTTCAGCCACATTTGCCAGACATTATAACAGACCTATAATCAAAGATCCTACTGATTTCTGCAATGCCATATGTAATTTGATTACTTGATTTGTCAATTAATATATTTTTTATAATTTTTAATTAATACAATACATTTTCTTTTTATTACAATATTGAGTACATTATTCACAACCCTAGCTTTAAACATCTACTTGTTAATATCGTCTCGGACTAGCAGTGGAGTATAGACACAAGTTTGCGCGTTAACCGCTAAAAAGAACCCCTTTGTCGTATCTCCTCAGTTTTAAGGCACTCCCCTTGTTGCCTCAGCCAGTATCGGAATCCTCGGCGTCGACATATCGAGTGACGTGCAGTTTCGTGGTCACTTGGAAGAGAAGGCCAAATTGGCCTCTAAAAAGCTTGGCGTGCTCAGCAGAGCGGGACAGTATTTCATGCCGGCACACCGCCTGCAACTTTACAAGGCGCGGGTTCGGCCGCACATGGAATACTGTTCCCATCTCTGGGCTGGGGCTCCCCAGTACCAGCTCCTTCCACTTGACCGCATCCAGCGCAGAGCGGCTCGAATCGTCGACGACCGAGTGTTTTCCGATCGGCTCGATTCACTGGCACTGCGAAGAGATGTTGCATGTCTTTGCATTTTCTTTCGCATATACCATGGAGAGTGCTCTGAGGAATTGTTCGGATTAATCCCAGCCGCCAAATTTCGTGAACGCACTACGCGGCAAACGTCGCGATACCATCCACATCATCTGGATGCTTGGCGGTTCACCACTGTACGTTTCAAGAGGAGTTTCTTCCGCGTACAACCTCTCTGTGGAATAGTTTACCACCGGCGATTTTTCCGGACCGATACGATCTGGCTACCTTCAAGAAAAGAGCGTACTCCTTTCTAAAGGGCCGGCAACGCACCTGCAATTCCCCTGGTGTTGCGGTTGATCATGGGCGGCGGTAGTCACTTAACATCGGGTGAGCCGCATGCTCGTTTGCCCCCTCTTCTATATAAAAAAAATTATTAAAAGATTAAACGAACTTACCTTAAGTGAAGTTCTATCTTAATTATACGAAGCTGCTAGTCCGAGACGAGAGTCCCAAAATCCCTCCCACTAATATGTAATATTATCCCATTACAGGGTTGTTCATAATAATACCTTTAAACGTAATGACATTCAGCGGCAGTGTTGCCATTCCAGAGGCTTGTTATGTTTTTGTTTTTTTTTAGCTTAGGACTTATGTGACCTGCGCTGTAAACAATCAGCGTTACTACTTGTTAATATCGTCTCGGACTAGCAGCTTCGTATAATTAAGATAGAACTTCACTTAAGGTAAGTTCGTTTAATCTTTTAATTATAAACATATAAGAATCTCGGACCTCTTGGTTTACTGTTCATTTACTTAGCGAAAAACAAGATGGACTAATCTCTAAGTTCACTTTCTTGTGTAAAAAGTGTGATTTAGAATTGTATGCAGATGATAATTAACGTTTCGATGTAAATAGGTGTGCCCTAGCATAGGCATTATATCCATTGATAGCGGTCATACATATTTGGAACAGTTTTTTGCGGCACTAAGCCTACGAATTATCTTGATATATATAAATTACGTGTCACGTTGTTTGTCCGCGATGGACTCCTAAACTACTTAACCGATTTTAATCAAATTTGCACATCGCATGCACTTTGGTCCAATTTGAGAGATAGGATAGTTTGCTTGCCCATGAGTAACCCACAATTTTTTTTGCGAATTTAAGGTTTTTTAATAGGACATTACAACGGGTCGTCGAAAAGGGCAGAACAACGTCTGCCTGGCAAGCTAGTTTCAAATAAAAAACAATAAAGCCAGCATCGTTTTTCGGTACGTTTCCAGTAACCCGGAAAGTATTGCTCAAGGCAATATGAATAAAGCAGCTGATAAAAATGGTACACCCATAACTGTTAACAATAATTTTACTGCAAACGGTCTTATACAAAAACCTACACCGCAGTGTCAGATGCAGGAGCTATTATTACAAGGAGGAGAGGTAATTTTTTTTAGAGATATGAAGTAAGTAAGTTTGGTGATAACGCATCTGCATTTTAATTCGTATATCTAGGTACAAAGTTTGTACCTAGATATAATGTTTACCTAGATGTAATGTTACGTTTTCGTGGCCTTCTCAGCATTACGTACCCTGTATCTCAAGGGAATATGAATATTGGATATGTTGTCGATGCAAAAGTAAAGTAAACAAATAACCTATATAATTCCCACCGCTGGACACAGGTTTCCTCTCATTTCTGAGAGAGTTTTAGGACAAATAAATGTCCG